CACACACACACACTATATATATTATATATATATATATATATATATATANATATATATATATATATATATATATATATATATATATATATATATATACATAACATATACATACAGATATATATATATATATATATATATATATATATAGGATATATAGATATATATGCGCATACACATGCATACACACACACCCACACCCACCCACGCCCACTACCACACCACTATATATATATATATATATATATATATGTATATGGTTTCAAAAGTTCAAACTCGCTTCAGACCATGGTCAGGTGAGTTACAGAAGGTAAAAAAGTGATATGTGAAGACAGTCGATCAAACAAGATCATCTGCCATGAGTTTTGCGAACTAAGCTAGTGCGACCATAAATAAAATAGGAGGCTAAGTCACGTACGCGTGATACGATTAGTAGAGAGAGAGAGAGTATCTGTGTAGTACATAAGAACCATCAGGCGATGAGCATGGCTTACGCGCGTATAACTCAGCTTGCCCACCATTGAATAACATGGTTAAGTTGGCTTCTCATTTTAGATATAAAGACCATCGAGCAAGCCATACGGTTGTGACCAAAGATTCAAAGTATATTACACAGAAAACAGATATGTGATATTGAAAAACCCTTTTCGAAGTCCTTTAGCCCAAGACGACGACATGATGAAAGCAAAGGCTATATAACTTACTAGGCGTGAATGATGACTGTATTTTGACACGTGCGTACGAAGTCCACCTTCTGAATTATGAACATACCACAACTTATGACACAGAAACTAGAGTTCGAGAACAATACTAACTATCTCATTATATGTTAACACGTACCTGATCTTGAGATGATGCCATACTGAAACGATGATTATAGGTACTAGACTGGAGAAGCGAGCACGAAGACATCTCTAGTTTATTGATGAATTTTTTTTACCGTGTTGTTTTTCTTCGAAGAAGTAATAAAAGCAGCTTTCCACGGCATTTTCTGTATTTGGAAAGTGATCACAGCGTATACGTTGAACGTATATATATAAGGGTGATATTCAGCTGGTATAGAGTACTATGTAGTGGGGACGAGAGTGTTCGACCTGCTACAGACAAGGCTTGACTACATGGCTGAATACCTCCGATATATTGAACCTCGGAATCCAAATATTGCACCCTCGTCAAGCATACAGGACCAAACCAAAGTAAACGTTGAGCGTATTGTAACAAGTACATATTGTATCAATATTTATCCGCTCAAACGTAAAACGTAATGACACGAGAGAGCTATGGCCTCTATATATGCTCTTTAGTCTCTATATGTAAATATAGTCTGTAGACTTGCTCCTCCAGGGCCCAGGGCCCAGCCCCCCAGCCACGGAGCCATCAGTGCAGCTGCAGCAGTCGCATTTGTATGAATTCTAAGAATGTATGAATTCTAATAATAGCACAGGAAGATATATATACTCACTTTTATAATATATATAGTGCAAGTCCCCATTATATATTGAATACACGTATCAGAGCATTACTGTAGTTTGACGGTCCAGATCATGTTGACGGTATGCCAACGATGAGTTGTATATAGTGTGAGATTGCACTCTCTATATAGCGGCGTCCTTGATGTGTCGTGCCTATAGTTCTTTAAACACCTTTGTACATTTAACTGTACGGATGGGTGAGTTCCTGCGTCAATATTTTACTCGTGGGAGTTGTATCTGGATTTGGATTTGGATTTGGATATTGTGGGAGTTGAATGCCAGTACTTGATGTTCGTTCTTTTTGTGGCCCCGAAATAAGTCCCCTACATTATATCCAACAGTGTGGTTATACAATAATACTGGATTGAGCGTGTTAGACTCGTCTGAGTATATGCTTTGCAGGTGGTTCAATTCCAGCTGTGTACATACCAGTAATAATGCCGGCTTACAAACGGGAAAATTGTACATCATTTGTATCACTTCGTATGGGCTTCATACACAAGAGAATACACAGTCTTCACAAATATCTTAGTGTATTCGTTGAACAGGTTTGAGTTGTGTGAGAGGTTCATTCTAAACTAAGCATCGCAACTTTAAACTTGCATCACTCACAGTCTATGAATTCTCGTTTGGTGGCGCCTGCCGCCAGGTCGCTTTTAAGGCCAACTACTCGAAATATGGCAGCCATAAAGGTATGTATTTGAGAAATTGACTTAATAGGGACGATAGACTCCGTAGAACACGCTTTTGAGTGCTCATACTTGCGGGAATAATCGATACTTGAATATTTATATATATATATATATATATTAGAGTATCGATTATTCCTGCAAGTATGAGCACTCAAAAGCGTGTTCTACGAAATACATACATATATACATATATATACATACATACACACACACACACACACACACACACACACACACACACACACACAC